ACTCACCCCCTGCCAAAGACACCAACAGGCCACGACGCAGCCTCCTCAGGACAGGCAGAGGCATTCAAGAACTTAGAAAAGCACCTCTGGAAAACACTCACTTGAAAACTTTGCATGTAACTTTACATTTTAATTACAAGGTTTTAACATCCATTTTCTCATGTATTCATAATGAACTCTGGGAAAGGAAACACAGCTTTTATTCTTACTCTTCAGAGTTACTGTGGTGGAAGTTCCCCTATGTGAACAAGCTGTTGCAACTGAAATTTTCAGAGAACAAATCCCAAGCTCTTTCCATTAACACAAACTATATTAAGTTTAGTTCTCTAATTTCCACTGGTTAAAGACCAGAATATGTGAAATATGCATTATCAGATTAGAAAACAAAACACACATCAGAAAAACTTTCTTCAAAAGAGCATTTACTAAAATCTATGATAGAAACTAGCTCTAAAACATCCTGTTTCAAAATTTCACTGTGTCCACTAAGTTCATTTTCCTGGCTGTGGACGGCAGGCCCACCCCACGCTGCAGGCCCACCCCATGCTGCAGGCCCACCCCACGCTGCAGACCTACCATGGCCCCATGAACAGGCCAGCTGAGAGCTGGGGCCACTGCCCAGGGCTCCCTGCTCTGTGTCGCTGCCTGAATCCAAGTAACCTGCCCAAGTGCTCTGCTTTTCCTCCTATGTGCTATCGAGACAAAAAATCAAGGCAGCTAAAATCAAACAAACAAAAATCCGCTTGAAACCCGGGAGGCGGGAGGGTGGTCGAAATCAAGATTGCAAATCAACTGCAACCCCAGGCCTGGGGTAACAAGAAAACGAAACTCTGCCTCAAAAAAAAAAAGTAAACAATACAATACAATACATACAGTACAAAGTACAGTTACAATACAATAACCAATACAATACAATACAGCTACAGTAACAGTCACAAATACAATACAAATACAGCTCATACGACTACCCCCTAAGAACCTTTTGGTATGAGCTGAAACCAAGAAGGGTAAAAACACGTCCCCGTTTTGGCCAGAAGACTTCCACAGATTCCCATATTAACAAGCGTCTTTTAATCCTAATGCCAGTCCTGCTTCTATAAAACTGTTGAGGGCCCCATTTGGGCTTCCCTGTTCATCAACCTGTCCTTTTTCCTTCTGTGCTTTCTTTTTTTGCTTCAATATCCTGGAAATTCATAACGGAAACTGTTTACTACAGGATCCTCATCGAAGCAAGGGCGGTGGAAGCACAAAAGAACACAGGCTGCGAGCCTGACACCCGGGCCAAGCTATCCACCCTCCTGTGGGGCACTAGACCGCAGCACACCTACACTAGGCCACCACCTGCCTGTTGCTGGAAACCCAACTCAGCACTTGTGCCAATGTTTCAGTTCTTCTTCCTTTCCCAAACAGATCCAGCGGTCCAGGCTCTCTGCTATCTCTCAGCTCGCTTCTCTGATGAAGTCCCTAAAATCCTTAACCCTGCTCCTGGCTCTCACAAACACCCATGTGATCCGCCCACACATGCCGCATCCAGCTGCTTTGTGAGGACAAGAAGCTAGAATTCTCACACACACTGGTTCAAGTGTAAACGGCAAAGCCACTTTGCGAAACCATAAACAGCTACTTACCCCAGGACCTAACAAATTCCACTCCAGGTGTTTACCCGAAGGGAGAACGTATGTTCACTGAAGTACTTGTACACAGCACAATCGTGGCAGCTCTACACGGCCAAAAACCAAAAAGCCTGGGCGCGGTGGCTCACGCTTGTAATCCCAACACTTTGGGAGGCCAAGGCTGGGGGATCACTTGAGCCCAGGAGTTCGAGACCAGCCTGTGCAACATAGTGAAACCTTGTCTCTACAAAAAAATCAAAAAACTAGCCAGGCATCGTGACCTGACTGTGGTCCCTGCAACACAGGAGGCTGAGGTGGGAGGATCGTTTGAGCCGAGGAGGACCAGGCTGCAGTGAGCCAAGATCAGGTCACTGTATCCAGCCTGGGTGACAGAGCAAGACCCTGTCTCAAAAAAAAAAAAAAACCAAAACAAAAAAAACCAATTAAATCTCCTTCAATAGGAGAATGAACTAACAACCAGCACTGCACCTATAAAATGGAAAACTTCCCAATAATAAAAACCAAGTCACAAGACACACATCAGTGTGAGTGAATCCGAAAATCCTTCTCCAAGGCAACGCAGGAAAGAGTGCAGCCTCTGCAGTTACATTGCTGCAACACTCAGAGCAGGAAAATGAATCTCATCTGAGGGCAGGGGAGCGTCCTGGCTGCGAGTGCCAAGGGGCACAGGGATCTTCCCCGGTGTTGGGAATGGTCTACATGATGGACAAGTTACCTGTTAACTTCACTGAAACAGACAACACCCAGGATTGCACAATTAAATCATATCTCAGTAATTGTTTAAATTAGCACATAAAAGAGTTTAAAAAATACTTGGATATGATACAAGTTAGTTTTACTGTTTTCAGTTATTCTTCACGTGTGAGTGTGGTATTTCCGATCTCAGAGCACCACCAGGTCACGTGTGCCTCCAAGGCCATACCTGGATCTCTGCAGTAATGGCTGCGTATAAGGCTGACTCCAACCCTCCAGCAGCCATCAAGCTGCCCACCAGAAGATCACTCATGAATTGACAACCTCGACTTATGTTCACGTCATTGCCTGAAACTGAAATAGAAAGTGTGTGCCAATTTGAGTGAAACGCCATCCCCTCCCAGCACCGTGACCCATGCCCTCTCCTGTTCCTTCCCCAAGCCCACCTGCGCAGGGCAGGGGAGCAGAGAGTGCCCGGGCCCGCTCCTCGGCGCTGGGCAGCAGCACGGACCAGCCGCTCTGCGGCACGGCCTGGGCGGACGACTGCATGGTGCTCAGCACGCCCGCGCTGCTGGCCAGGGTCACCACCGTCTGCTTCAGGCTGTTCAGGAGAACGCTGCCCAGACCTAAATCAAACAATTCTGGGTCAACCTGGTGACTAATGGCAGCATGCAACTGACAGGAGAAAAACAATTTTCACTTAGAACCCCTCAAAATGAGTGA